AGAAATCCTTTATTTATAACACGTACATGAAAAATCTAAAAGATTAGACACAACTATGGGACAGCAGCGAGCAGCAGTGAAAGCAACCTCAAGGTTGTAAATGTGTGAAATTGTATAGGGCCCCATTCCTGTATTTTGCCCGGGGCCCCCAAATCACTAAATCCGCCCCTGAGTGTGTGTACTAGTGGTAATCATGGGTAACTGTTTTTGGATGAACCCTCGAATGCAGTCATCTTTAGCACTAATATTCAATATAGATGTAGATGTTGAGGGAAGTCACGGGGTGGACTGACGTCAGACCAAATCTCATTATTCAGAAACTCATTCCTGCATTTCAGCTCTTTCATTTCTCTTTTCTGTTCTTTTCATGAAGAGAAATCCTTTGTCTTTAGTAATGATATGTCATTTATTTCACATGCCAATAACACGCAGCTTCGACTGACTTGAGCACCTGTTACATTAATATTACATTATTATATATTATATTATATTACATATATTATATTACAGATAACGGCATAAGTTTTCTGTTCTTTTCATGAAGAGAAATCCTTTGTCTTTAGTAATGATATGTCATTTATTTCACATGCCAATAACACGCAGCTTCGACTGACTTGAGCACCTGTTACATTAATATTACATTTTATATTATAATATTATATTACATATATTATATTACAGATAACGGCATAAGTAAGGGTAGGCTACTTTTTGTTTGCAAAACACACACACACACACACACAACTATGCAGAACATGAAAAGGGCTTTATATAAAATTAGGACTTACCGAGCGCTAAATAACGTTTCTTGATGCCTGTTTTTTCTTCGATTTTATTAAGACAGTCAGTGAGTATATTCTTCTCGTTCAAAAAAGCCTCGACGCGGTCTTTGAGCTTTGTAAATATGGCAAGCATCGTGGCTTAAAAGGAAAGCGTAAGGTTCTGCAGTGAAGCACAGGTGTATGGCTCTCGGGTCTCGGACAGAACAGACTCAATCCGCTTACTGTCAGACTGTCGCGTCTGAGGGAGGATCAACACTGACTGACTGACAGCAGCGAGACCGATTACTTCTGCTACTTTCAGATGAGGGAAATGTTCTGTCGCTTTAAATTCAACTAAAACGCATTTAGGCCACTCTAGTTTACTTTAATTTGATTATCGCTTACGGTTATGTGTTTACCCGTTTCCGCCACTAAATAAAAAAAACAAAAAAAATGTTATTGCGACTTTTTATCTCAAAATTCGGACTTTTTTCACATAATTGTAAGATATAAACGCACAGTTCCGTGTTATAAAGTCAGAATTGCAAATAAAAACGGGCAATTCTGAGTTTATATCTTTCAATTCTGTATAGCGTGCCTACTGTATGTTGTTTGGAATTTAAAGGGGTCATATGACGCGATTTCAAGTTTTCCTTTCTCTTTGGAGTGTTACAAGCTCTTGGTGCATAAAGAAGATCTGTAAAGTTGCAAAGACTAAAGTCTCAAATCCAAAGAGATATTCTTTATCAAAGTTAAGAGTCAGCCACGCCCCCCTAAAACGGCTCGTTCTAACACGCCCCCACAT